GGACAGGGAGAGGTCACACACACACACACACACACACGCACGCACGCACACACACACACACACACACACACAGACACACCCACACACACACACACACACACACACACACACACACACACACACACATTGCAACCTTCCAACATTTAACCAAGATCATCTTCTCGCTTTAACATAATCTAAGATCATTGGCTGGTTGCGCAAAAAACCATTAAGTTTTCTCCTTAAGTACGCCCATTGCAGGAGCTTTTCCAACACAAACTGACAGGAGAACATCTCAGGTGAAACCTCTGACACATGCCAGTCTTTAAAATGCATGTCTCAAGTCCCTTTTCCCAACATCTAACTACGAGCTGGTTTTCATTGTAAGATCATTGGCTGGTTGCACAAAAACCCTTTAGGTTTCTCCTTAAGTATGCCCATTTCAGGAGGTTTCCAGACACAAACTGACAGGAGAACAGCTCAGGTGAAACCTCTGACACCACTGGCCAGTTTAAAGAAAGATTTTTGTTTCTTTAAAATGCATATTTCAAGTCCATTTCCCCAACATCTAACCAGGTCCACCATCCCTCTCTGACCCTGACCGTCACTACGAGCTGGTTTTCATTGTTAGATAATTGGCTGGTTGTACAGAAACCCCTTAAATGTTCTCCCGTATGTTTCTTAACACTTATGTTCTCTTAAGCTGAGGGTGTTGCACAGAATATGGTAACTTATTTAAGGAAAACTTAAAGGCATCTACTCCAATGGTTTACTTGTGAGTCTTGTTATCTGTCCTATAAACTCTAAAAACAGAAGAAAGAAGACAAGAAAATAAATCTGTTGACGGAAAATAATATGATGTAGGTTTTTATTTTCATGATTGCAAATTAACTGGATGTTGCATGAATCCTTTTGTGCAACAGTTACTTAAACCTTATATTGCTTACTTTAAGGAAATCTTAAGCTAAGGTGTTTTTATAGCCTGCAGTTTGCAGGTACACCGCCAGTTGACATCCCACAAAGTTAGCCAATAAATAGTAAAAATGAAAATGCAAAATGTCAGAAGAAGTGATAACATTAAACTAAATTGTTGAGAGGAAACAAATCAGGTTGTTTCCATGTCTGTAAACAAACTGGAAGTAGATTGTATTCCTGTTTTTAGTCCCCTTTATGCAATGCTTTAACTTCTTTTAAGGGATATCTTAAGTATAAAACCAAGATAAGTAGAAAACTATTAAATCGTTATCTGAACTTTAGTGCAACTGGTTTCCTCTCATCTTGGACTCCAGTTCTGGCTGCCTTACACTGGCTCCCTATAGAACACAGGATATCATTTAAAATTCTTCTTCTCGCCTACAAAGCCCTTAATGGGCAGGCGCCATCTTACCTTAAAGAACTCATTATACCCTACTGTCCTGCTAGGGCACTGCGTTCCAAGAATGCAGGGTTGTTGGTTGTTCCTAGAGTCTCTAAAAGTACATGGGAGCCAGAGCCTTTTCTGATCAAGCTCCACATTTGTGGAATCAGCTTCCAGTTTGTGTTCGGGCGGCAGATACCCTATCCGCTTTTAAGAGTGCGCTTAAGACCTTCCTTTTTGATGAAGCTTATAGTTAGGGCTGATTAGATTCAGCCCCTAGTTTTGCTGCTTTAGGCTTAGACTGTCGGGGGACACCTTACTTCTTCCTTCTCTCTGTCTGTGCCTGTGTACTCTCATGTTCCGGATAACCCAGCTTCCCCAAATTTATTTTTGGTGTCTATCTACGCCGGGATCCTGAGTCGTGGCTGATCCTGTTGCTGTGGTCCTGGATCCTGGATCCTGAGTGCTAGATCCTGTGTCCTGGATCCTCTATCCTGAGTCCTGATCCGAGTCCTGGATTTCGAGTCGTGGCTGAACCTGTCACTGTGGTCCTGCCTGACTTTCATCATTCTACTTCCCTGATGGCTCCCACAGGATTGTTGACATCCTCGTGGATTCATCTTCTTATTATAGACACATGCATTTTCAAACATTTGGACTACCTATGTTGTAAATGTATTATCTCTTCGATTTACACACGGCATCTATTGCACGTCTGTCCGTCCTGGGAGAGGGATCCCTCCTCTGTTGCTCTCCCTGAGGTTTCTCCCATGTTCCTTTAAACTGTGGGGTTTTTCGTTTTCTGGAAGTGTTTCCTTGTACGATGTGAGGGTCTAAGGACAGAGGGGGTTGTATTGTCATACTGATATTCTGTACAAACTGTGAAGTCCACTGAGACAAATGTAACATTTGTGATATTGGGCTATATAAATAAACATTGATTGATTGATTGATTGATTTAAGTTAAATCTGAACCCCAGATAAGATAGCTCAGTATCTCTACAGCCGCTGGTGTTTAAAGGTTACTGAGTTTAAAGCAGAACATTTCCTCCGCACTCTGTAGAAGTGAAGGTGTAACAGGAAGTTCTTCAGGTAACCGTCAGGGACTTCTTAAAGATCCACCTGAGAGACGCCGAGGCTCTGATCCCTCTCTCATTAGTGAGTGGAAACACAGCAGCCATCAGGGATGCTGGGTAATAATCCGCTCCATCACATAATGACTGAAGACAGACAGACGCCGTTATGGAGATGAGGTTGAATAAGGGGGGGAGTACGTTTCTGTAATATCTCACTGAACAGAGAACTAAGCAATAATGCTTCAACACACGAGTTAACAAAAACTAAATGTACAAAAACAGTCCACTTCCTGCTTATCTAGACCAATTAACTCCACCAACTGATGCAAATCTTAACCAGTTAACTCCACTAACTAATTCACATCTTAACCAGTTAACTCCACCAACTGATGCAAATCTTAACCAGTTAACTCCATCAACTAATTCACATCTTAACCAGTTAACTCCATCAACTAATTCACAACTAAACCAGTTAACTCCATCAACTAATTCACATCTTAACCAGTTAACTCCACCAACTGATGCAAATCTTAACCAGTTAACTCCACCAACTGATGCACATCTAAACCAGTTAACTCCACCAACTAAACCAGTTAACTCCACCAACTAAACCAGTTAACTCCACCAACCAGTAATATAAACCAGTTTACTCTGAATTTGTACCAATCATTCAAACCTAAAACACTACATATTCAAACCACACCACATGTAAACCAGTTCACTGATTAACCAGTTAACTCCAAATGTAAACCAGTTTGGATCAGAGGATGTTTGTACTTTCATTCACATTTAAACACGTTTTCGACCTGATTTTCAAACTGGTTTATAAACCAGATCCAAAATGTATTTTCCTGTAAACATGTGGCTCAAACACACAGACGCTCAGAGACTCTCCAGCTCCAAGTGTGTGTGTTACAGTAGTGTGTGTTCTATTTTTTACTCTCACAGACACACACAAACACACACACACTTGTTCTTCTTCTTCACTCCTGAGCCTGAACCAGTAAAACCATTAACTCTCAGCCGACAGCCGGGAAACGTGTTGATTGGTGTGATCAACGACACACCAACAGCTGCTCTTTTTTTACTCTTACACACACACACACACACACACACACACACACACACACACACACACACACACACACACACACACATACATACACACACACATACACACACACACAAACAGAGATACACCCAAACAGAGGGTAGATAACAACAGGGCTGTGTTTGTTTTTTATGATACTAGCGTTGACTTCATTTATAGCCCAACATTAGCCTCCTTTAGCTTAGCGGTGGTGACGTGAAGTCATGTGACCGTGCTGTAGTTCCTTTATAGCCCAACATTAGCCGCCTTTAGCTTAGCGGTGGTGACGTGAAGTCATGTGACCGTGCTGTAGTTCCTTTATAGCCCAACATTAGCCGCCTTTAGCTTAGTGGTGGTGACGTGAAGTCATGTGACCGTGCTGTAGTTCCTTTATAGCCCAACATTAGCCGCCTTTAGCTTAGCGGTGGTGACGTGAAGTCATGTGACCGTGCTGTAGTTCCTTTATAGCTTAACATTAGCCGCCTTCAGCTTAGCGGTGGTGACGTAAAAAACTTTTGTTTGACACTGAGAATATTTTCTGCAATAATCGAAAATGACACAGAGCAATCCCATTGGACCAGGGAGATGCTGCCTTCAGGGACAGACACAGAAATACGACATCCTGCAGCTCTGAATAAAGACAGTCCTTAGTATTTCCTACCTGCACATGATCTCGTGGGTGAGGAGGACGCGACACATCTCAGGGTTTTTGTCCTGACCTTCGTAAATGATGGGCTGAGGGACAGAAAACACACACATTCAATACATTTACAAAAAATAAAATGTTTCGTCACAAAAACATCAAATAAAAACGCGTAAATAAGTGATTTAATTTGACTGTCACTTGTTAGTTTTTGGTAAATACTCGTAGGAGTTGCAGAAAATATGTTGTTTCACACAGGAAACATTATCATATTCACTTAATCTCCCGCCCCTTAGCCTACAATGTGTTTGAGCGCTAGAATAGTGTTTGGAAGTACAACAATATTCTATAAAAAGAGAGTACAGTTTAGGAAAAATTAAGACATTTTTCGAGAACGACATCTCTTTAAACGGTACAGATTTGGAGAGAATGAAACGTTTCAGTTTTTTTAAAAGGTGAGACGTGTTTTTTGAAAGTGGGCATTCAAACACCCCCCTCACTCTGCTTGGACCATGGATGTATTATAAGAACTGGATATAGCGTTGGAGGCGGGGCTTGTTTATTCCTATGAGAGCTGCTCATTGGTGCATGAAGATAAAATGGCCTGAGATTCTCGAGAGCAAAGCTTCACAAATTACCCATCATGCCTTGCTGTGAGAGCAGAAGTACCCGTATGTAGCTCATAGAGCGCAGTTGAGTTTCCCTTAAGCCCCGCCTCCTGTCATTAAGCCCCGCCCACGATCACCCGCTCTCGGCTCAGTGGAATGAATGGAGAGAGAAAATAAATCTGGATTCGGCTTTTATTGCATTTTACAACTCTTAGGATCTAATGATTCTAATAAGGGCTTTAAAATAGTTCACTGGGTAGTTTATTATTATTATTTTTTAATTATCCGCTGATTTACAGACGTCTCTTTCCAAATGTTAGTCAATGGGAAAAAGTCTTTCTGGGCCCAGTGACGTCACGGACTGATACGGAAGTTCTAGTACCGCCGTTTGGCCACTAGGGATATTTCCCTCAGAGTCCAGAGCACTTCCTGGGGGCTTGTGATTGGTCCAAAACATCAACAACAAAGTCAAACATGGCCACCAACCTCCTCCTCCTCTGGTGGTCTCTCAGACTTCCCAGAATTCCCTGCCAGATGGTGGGTTCCCCCCCCCCCCCCCCCCCACAGAGCTGTCATGTCAGCGTCCGGATGACGGATGACCGCTGTGTGTGTGTGTGTGTGTGTGTGTGTGTGTGTGTGTGTGTGTGTGTGTGTGTGTGTGTGTGTGTGTGTGTGTGTGTGTGTGTGTGTGAGACGATGACCTACCACTACCTCATCCACCTTTATAGTCAAAACAGACCTCCGCCCTGCACACACACACATGCACACACACACACACACATACACACACACACACACACCCCTGGGGTACGATACTTTTAGGATAACGACCACTTCTGCATTATTGATCCTGATGCTGGCTCTGTTCCTCTGGATTAAAATGCTCCAGTTTGACCAGGAGGGATGTGGATTGCACCAGACACACACACACACACATACACACACACACACACACACACACACACACACACAGGCCACATACTGTGTAGATTTACAGGTCGATATTTATACATCATCATTCCTGAAGCAGGACTCCCGTGAGTCTTAGTGTGTGTGTGTTAGTGTGTGTGTGTGTGTGTGTGTGTGTGTGTGTGTGTGTGTGTGTGTGTGTGTGTGTGTGTGTGTGTGTGTGTGTGTGTGTGTGTGTGTGTGTGTGTGTGTGTGTGTGTGTCCACTTTCATGCCTGTTTGTGGGTTAACGTCCACATTTCTGCTGTGAGTGTGTGTACGCCTTTATTTCTATCTTTGTGAGGTCCACATGCAGGTTCGGACCGATACTGTGAGGACATGCTGTAAAAGTGGATGTTTTTGCAGAGTATTGACATTTTAGTTGGCCGTAAAAATATTTCAGAAGTGATGAAACATTTTGAAAGAGGATATTTTGGAAAGATAGAACAATTTTGGGAAGTAAGAACATTTTATGAATTTGAAATGTAGGTCAGAGTGATAAAAGAAAGTGAGGAACGCCTTCGGAAAGTGAAGACATTTTTGTAGAGGGGGATTTTAGATATTGGGGACAGATTAAAAGTGAGGACATTTTTGGGAAAGAACGGATATTTTTAAAGTAGGGACATCTCCAGGGAGTGTTGACATTTTTAGAAAGTGACAACATTCGGGGGAAACTGAAGACATTTTGAGTTGAAATTTAGGAAGTTTTTATGAAATCCTGGAGATTTTTAGAAAGGGACTTCATAAAAGTAATGACAATATTTTTACAAAAGTGCATTATTGAAATGTGGTTTCAGTTTAGGATTGTGAGGACTTTCTGGGGAAATAATGAAATGTTTTAAAAGGAGGAAACTCTCTGGACATTTTCAAAAAGTGAAGATAAGGTTTTGGAAAGTTGGCATTTTTAGAACATTTGGGGATATTTTTCATTGTCTTTTCTTCATTATCTTCTTTGTCTTCAGCCGTCTGATGGACCAGACTTTGCTTAAGAGCGTTTAGCGCAGAATCTAAGTCTTGATTTGTTTCCTCAACAACATTATTATGTATCCAGAAGTAAGACTTGTTTTTATGAAGTAAAAGTCAATCTTTATTTGATACTACAAGTATAGCGTAGTGTCCTCCATGTTTAGCGGGCGGTGCAGACTTGTTAACTTTCTGTTTGTGTCTCCTTAATATTTTCAGTGTCTTCCCGCTGAGCTTCTCTGTGAGACTCAGTGCATTAAAGTCTCTCTGCAGGACAATCTGCAGAGGTTTAAGTTAAGTTAGGTTCAAGTCTGATTTTAGCGTCCTTACACTATAAAAACACACATGTTTAACGCAGAATCTAAGTCTTCATTTGTTGCCTCTATACAACGTTCTCATTTATCCCGAACTAAGACTTGTTTTTAGAAGGGAAAGTCAACGTTTGGGGTCTTCGTGTAGTCCTCCACGTTTAGCGGGCGGTGTGCAGACTTGTGAACTTTCTGTTTGTGTCTCTTAAATATGTTCAGTTTGTTCCCGCTGTGAGACTCAGTGCATTAAAGTCTCTCTGCAGGACAATCTGCATTAATGTGCTGACAATCGGCGGGGGGGGAATCGATCCGTCCTGTCAGGAGTCATGTAGAGAGTGCAGTGGGAGGAGTGGGAGTAAAGGGAGTAAAGGGAGGGTGTAGTGGGGGGGGGGAGAGATGTCAGGATTATTGTCTCCAGTGTGCCGTCGCTGCGCCACATTAGGACATATTGATCCGTTTGGTGACGCTTTGTCGAGGAGACGAAGCTTCATCGATCGATTCAGAACATGCCGACAGGAGGGAGGAGGGAGGAGGTGAGGAGGTGAGGAGGGAGGAGGGAAGAGGTGAGGAGGGAGGAGGTTAGGAGGTGAGGAGGGAAGAGGGTGAGGAGGGAGGAGGGAAGAGGTGAGGAGGGAGGAGGTGAGGAGGTGAGGAGGGAGGAGGTGAGGGATTTTTTAAATATATAGGTGAGGAGGGAGGAGTGAGGAGGTGAGGAGGTGAGGAGGGAGGACGTGAGGAGGGAGGAGGGAGGAGGTGAGGGATTTAAAATAAATATATAGGTGAGGAGGCAGGAGGTGAGGAGCTAGGGGAGGTGAGGAGGAAGGAGGTGAGGAGGGAGGAGGTGATAATAATAATAATAATAATAATAATAATAATAATAATAACAATAATAATAATAATAATGCATGAGGGTAAAAACGGCTCTTTTGTGGGGAATGTGCATCAGTGAAGTCTGGGAAGGCATACGTGTACTTATGTAGTATTTAGTTCAAGACTAAATTATAAATAAGCTGTAACACGAGGACTTAAAGAAATACATCTACCAACAACAACAACAACAATAAGATTCATTATTGTTTAGTTGTGTTGCCCTGCATCTGAAACCCAGTCCCCCAAACTTTATATTGTCAGGTAAATGTTGTCAGAGCGGAGGACCTGGACTTCAGGGATGAATCCTGAGGAGGAGGAAGAAGGAAACATGTCTGTGGACGGGTTCAGATCCCAGAGGGAGGAGGACAGGACCAATAAAGAGGGAGTAGAAGAAGAAGTTTGAGGAGTTCCTAAGATTACTTTCCCATCTGTGTTTACGTGTAATAATGTCCACGCTTTTATTTTGAAACTTTGCACAGAGCCATGTTAGCAGTTCCTCTTTATGGTCCGTTTCTTAAGACAATAAAAGAGAGATCTTCTCACCACTTTGGTCATGGAGTCGATCAGCCGGACGAACAGATCCTGTTCCGTCCTGATGCCTGAAACACACAAACACACACATTAGCATGCTGAGACACACACACACACACACACACACACACACACACACACACACACACAAACACACACATTAGCATGCTGAGACACACACACACACACGCACACACACACACACACACACACACACACACACACACACACACACATACACACACACTCACACACACACATTAGTCTGCTGACACACACACACACACACACACACACACACAGTAAATGTTTTTGTATGTATGTCCCACTCAGCAGAAACAAACATGAGCTGCAATTGAGGAAAGTTTAGGAGTGAGGACATTTTATTACGTGTTAAAAAAACAAATATTAACAAATATTATATTTACTGCAATTTAGATATTCCATATTGTGTTCATGATAACATTTTGATTAACTTCGCAGCCCTGGTTCTGAATCAGAGAGAAATCCCTCCACACTTTCCCTCCGATGGACAAAACAGAGTTCAGATACACTGTCAGATATTCCAGATGTCAGCGTGTGTGTGTGTGTGTGTGTGTGTGTGTGTGTGTGTGTGTGTGTGTGTGTGTGTGTGTGTGTGTGTGTGTGTGTGTGTGTGTGTGTGTGTGTGTGTGTGTGTGTGTGTGTGTGTGTGTGTGTGTGGGTGGGTGTGGGTGTGTGTGGGTGTGTGTGTGTGTGTGTGTGTGTGTGTGTCTGTGCTGATAAACTTTTTCCACTCTTAACCCCCCCCCCCTCTTTCAGTGACCTTTAATAGAAGCTGCTGCTCTACAGATGTAACTCCTGCAGGAGTATCACCTGAGGGAGCGCTCATTAGCTGCCTGTCATCAATCACACACACCTGAGCTGCACACACACACACACACACACACACACACACACACACACACACACACACACACACACACACACACACACACACACACACACACACACACACACACACACACACACACACACACACACACACACACACACACTGACCTACACCGCTGCCATTTGCACTTTTAATTTCATGCCGTCAGTCAAGGTGTGTTAACAGTACAGTCCGCAGAAAATCCTGCTAAATACACATTTTATCCCAATCACTTCCTCACAGGACACACACCTTTACCTGCACGGTGTTTACGTTTACACCTCGAGAAAGAGAGACATTTTTAAACATAATCTCATGGGGAAGTTTACACGCCACTTTAAAGGATAATTTGTGAGCTTTTCACACCATTAAAGGACGTGTCAAATCAAAACCAAATGTGCACACGAGTTCAGTCAGACATGTTATTCCACGCTGACCCTCGTCATATCAAACACACACTCGCAAATATGTCCCAGGTAAGTCTGAATGTGACCATAGACGACCTTAAGGTGGCAAACCAAAGTCAGAAGCTGTGACTGAACTTCTCTGCAAGACGAGAAGAAAACTACTTAAAAAAGTTTGGTTGATCAGGGCTACGCTAACGTTACAGCTAATGCATCAATAATCAGAACCTGAAATACTAATAAAGGGATTCTGATTCTGAATTCAGATCAAATAAATGACACACCTTCTTCTACACCTAGCTAGAGATGTGATGGGAAACATCGTGTGAGAAAAACACTCAAAAACAAGACGTATCTTTATACTTCACTACATCAGTGTTAAATAGCTAGCATTACGTCTCACAGCAGTGTTATTCCCCATCACGACTTCTTTCCTCCAGATATGATGTTGTTTTCCTAAGAATATAGTGTCTTTATTTACCCAGGTATTACAACCTCTTTATCCAAACAAAACACCCACTGTCTGAAATGATTACATCTTCATTTAGCCAATGCTAACAACATCGTTCACTAAACTGTCCACAGTATGTTCAGCTGATGTACCAGAAGTGCTAAACGTACAAATACTGTGTCTCAGTTTGCATACTTTTGTACTTAAACTTGCTGTTTCGCGTGCATAAATGCTTCCAAGAAATGCCCTCTGTTGCTGATCTCAGAACAGTCAGAAAGAGGAACGCCTCTAGCACTCAACAACTACGTAGCTGAAGCAGCGCGGCCGTTAGCCGTTTCATGTGTGAACACGGCCAAACACAAGTAAAAGTTATACATGTGGGTGTGTTTCCTGTATATTTAATAAACGTACCACTTTTCTGGTGTTGAGAAAGCCACTTTATTGGAGTTATTGAGCACGTTGTATTGATCTGGCACCACAAACGTTTGCAATGCTAGCTCACTAACAGCGTTGATCGTCACAGAAGCCGTGTGCAGTTTAAAGAAATGCTGCACATGTTCATACGTGTGTTTATTACTTAAAGGTGGGGTAGGTAATTTTGGAGAAACCAGCTCGAGTGCGCTAGAATTTGAAAATACACAGCCGGAAAAAATCTGCCACTTCCTTACAGAGCCCCTCCTCCAACACACACGAACGCGCACATGACCAATGAGGGCACGAGATAAGTCTGTGCACAGATGGAAGGCTGACAGGCAGGTAGGCCATCCAGTTATTTTAGCCGGGCCGGCTCAGATGATTGGTCGTGCTTTTTACAGTACCACGGCTTCCACAGATGACATTTTTTTATGGATTTTTTGTCAAATCACTTCAGATATTCATTGCTATCGGGATGTTAAGAGCATTCCATGGAATATAACAACAAGTGTATCTCGAGCCGGTTTCTCAAACTTACCTACCCCACCTTTAATGCTCTTAATGGCACCATTTGTGTAAAGCACTGTGAATTGCCTTGTGTTGGAACGTGCTGTATGAATCAACGTAATGCACACAATGTATACAATATCTTGTTTTTCATTTCTGCATATATTTTATAGCAATTATATTTCTACGATTTCAACCATATTCAATGTCAATACTGCTATATTTTTTTATTCTGATTTCTAATTCTTTGCACAGTTTTGATGCTGAACCACCTCTCAGTGTTTGTACTTAAACACATGCGCAAAAACAACAAAGCTGAATCTGATGTTGAGAAAATACTCAACAAAAAACACGTTTCCTCACCGTTGCTGTAGAGGAGCTGTAGCCTGTAGTGGATCCCATTGTTGGTCTTCTCTCCGTTATACTCCTGTTATACACACACACACACACACACACACACACACACACACACACACACACACACACACAGAGAGAGAGATGAAGGTGTGAGAATGAAACCTTTACTGTCCTGCTGAGCTGTGAAAGTCAAACCTGTGTACATGAACCGGGTCGTTTCAGTGTTTTAACCACATTTCTGCTGAACAAAAATAAATATAACATGAAACAAATAACAATGAATTACCAAAAATCACCTTTTTCTCTCTGTCTGTTATAACCTCGACAAATATCTCTACTTTTGTGTTTCAGTATGTGGTCACTTTAGTGATCATGCCTTAAATAAATCGTCATTTAGTCAATAAAATGCTCAATAAAAACGAATAAATCACATTGTCTTTTGATTATTTTCCACTTTGTAAAACAGTATAACACAGACAAACACTGAGTACTGTTTTTAAAAGATATTTTATATACTGTATTATATTTTCATGTACTTTATCATTTCTGTCCAAATGATATTGTTTTGTCTCTTTATGATATTTCATTCTCATTTCTGTTATTTCCTTTACTAACCTGTGTGTATTTCTGTCTGTGCTGCTGGAGATCAATACAAAATATGTGTAATATTTCGTTTTTATTCATAATTTTCTCATTTATGTGTTTTTTCTTACGGACTTTTTCTTTTTAATCTTCATTTTTTAATTTTACTCTCTTTTTATTTCACCATCGCTGCCAACGGAGCCGCGAGTGTTGGCTCAGCCCCAGTGTGTGTGTGTGTGTGTGTGTGTGTGTGTGTGTGTGTGTGTGTGTGTGTGTGTGTGTGTGTGTGTGTGTGTGTGTGTGTGTGTGTGTGTGTGTGTGTGTGTGTGTGTGTGTGTGTGTGTGTGTGTGTGTGTGTGTGTAGAGGTCAGTGTGAGGTGAGTGTGTGTGGGAGGACTTCAGTGCCAGCTGGCAGTCGATCAGACAGCAAACCCTCTCAAACTGTCTGGATATTATCACGCTTATTATCAAGTACGATTATTAGTGTTTGTAAATGGTAA